AACGATAGGCGGTTCAGTGTAACTGAACACAGCATCTCACTGCGCATGGCTGAGGAAAGGGGACTACAGCTCCACCGGGAACTGCCCGCTGCCAATTTGCTGCCTTTGAAGAACTCACTTGTTTCCAAGATGCACGTACATTGTTTAACATTTTTAAAAATAAAAGATCTATTTTATACAGCTACAATAACCATATTTTAGTGTACCATCAGCTTATTATTTTCAGAGCCATTCACCACAGCTATCACTTAAGCAGCCAGTGAGAGGAGGAAGTCCTTCCTCGAGTACCGCCAACCCATGTGTCACGGCCAGGAGAACCACCCTATAGTTCACTTCTCACCCCTCCGAAGGCCGGGCAACACACTCATGGAGGACCTTTCCTATAAAGCTCCACAAAAAATTGTAATTCATTTTTCATGGGAAATTTAATCTATAGTAAGTTTCATTAGACACAACAAATCCTCTTCTCTAACTCAAGCATTTTCCTTCCAGGAAATTTGATAAATTTGTTGCAAAATATAGAAGACTTCTCCAAAAAAGGTCAGTGATTTATAATGAAGAGTAACCAAAACTTAACTATAGAGAGCATAATTCTCTGTCCTGCTAACTAGAGAAACCAGCACAGAGAAAAGACACACAAGGATGAGGTATGTTCTGAAGTGTTGTCAACCTCACCAGTGCCACAAGCAAACCTCGATTTTTAACTGTTTTTTTTTTAAAAAAAAAAAAAAAAAAAAAAAAAAAAAAAACCAAGACCTTTTGAGTAAAGCAATCATACTCTCTTCAGAGTAGTGAGAGTCAAAAACACAAGCATGCTTTGGAAACCATTAAGTTTCCATATACTTACATCAGACAGAGATACACAGTATCATAGATTGACCAGACTCTTGGTAATTAGTTTACATGAACTTTTGCATTTTACACATTTTGAAGCAAGCACACTTTTGCTTACTAGCAGATTAAGATGCTAAGAATAAATGATTGTTGGTTAAGTCAGCCTCATGTAACCAAGTAGCAGACATGTAAGTGCTCATTTGGACACCATTGTGAGAAGATTTATTAACTTAAATATATTCACTGGAAATGCTGTATTTATTTCAATAAAAGTATAGAGAGCGGAGACTTTTCCATGGGGCTTGTGATACTCCTTCAACTTTTTTTCAGAAAAGAGCATTCATTAAGTTTAAAAGACGACTACATGTAGTAGCAGATGCTGCAAAGTAAGCATGCACCTCCTCAGAAGGACGTGCTAGCCCCAGCGGGGCTACTGAGGTATGCAGAGGGGTCTTTGTGAATTTTGCTAAGTTATGATGGAAGGCAAAACTGCTGCAAATATGAAATATTCTGAATTAACTCCCAAAATTCTGAGTATCCAATAGCCTACCCAAAGCATATCCTACCATTTATATTAGGTCAAACCTTACTAACATCAAATTCATCAAGAGTTTGAGCAAGGTTATTCATGAGAACCACACTGAATTCACAGGTTAACAGTTTGCATTTCTTTCAATCATTTTATGGTAACATTTCATAGCACACTAGTAGAAACACCGCAACATAAGCTGTAAAAACAAATGAAATATTAACGGTAGATCACTCCTCCATGTGTAGCTAGGTATAGGCCTAGCAATTGGCAAGCAGCTCTCAAAGGGTACATAAGTGTAAAGCATTCCCACTAGGAATGAAAAAGAGAAAATTAAATCTTGATTAACCACTCATATTGTAATGACCTTGCAGTCCTTAGCTGCACAAATGCAGTGCAGCCCCTTATGCATGGGAGAGGTTGCTCAACTTCCCCCTTCTGCCTGCGATTTGAGTATGCCGCAGGCCTCCAGGTTGGGATCTCCACAGGAATAACCGGCCAGGCAGTGGGGCAGAGGCGCTGGAGGAGACGCGCTCCGCCAGCACCGACCCACGGCACCGGACACAGCGGCAGCTGAGCCAGGCGCTGCGCTCTCCCCAGCACAGGGATCCTGTGGAGCTGAGCACACACTCTGCAACGCCACCCGGCAGCCACACAGCAGGCAGGCAGGGAATTCACAACAAGGGAACCATGAGTTTCAGATGCAGTAACAGTAGCCTTCAGGCTAGGCATAGCCCAGAAGACACTGAATTTTTTCCTGGATATGGCAATACCAAAATTCCACAACAGAGCCTGTAGAGATTTATTCCCTCAGATCTTTTCCCCAGGGATACATTTAAAGACTCTAAATCTGAAAGACCCACGATGTTCTGAACAGTTCAAAGCATACAGTTAGTACTCTTACATTATATATACTCTTTATTACATTATATATACTCTATACAGTTATTAGGCTTTTTTTAAGCAGAAAAAAATTTATACCAAGAGTCTCAATTGACTAGATCTATGCTGCTAATTGTCTTAACAGTGCATTTTATTTTATCCACAAAGATCTCACATCAGCATTTTTAATTATTTAAAACAATCAGCATGATCAGAGATTACCTTCTTAATAATCACTCTTGTTCAAGCGTAAAGCATTTGATTCCAGCTGCTGTGAACTTTAATACAGGCAAAAGCAACTTTTGCTGACATAAAAGGGACAAACCACACAGCAAGAAACAAAGACGAAGCTAAACTGCATATACAGCCCCCAAAACAAATATTATTTTACATACAATACTATTTTACATTTTTAATTTGTAAGATATTCCCTTAGCTTTAGTTAAAAAGAGAAAAATTGTAAAAATATTTACTTACTTCACCTATGGCAGGTTTGGACATTTGAGTTTAATATTGAAGTCCACAGATAACAATCCAAATTTGAGAGATATTGGATTGTTTCATTGTTAATTGTGTTTGTTCCACATACTTTTTGTTATTCAGTCTATTAATAATGTCTAACAGGCTATATTTCTTTTTCCTACCTTCACAATCACAAAGTCATCTAATCTATGGCTCCAATTTTCCAAGCTGTTTGATTCCAAAGAAACCACAAAGCCAAAAGAGTCTCCATTTGTGAAGACCCCTAAACAGCTTGAGATTGGTTTCTGCTCCATAGGGGAACGGACAAGAAAAAGACTGGTGAAGAGCAGAAGCGGGGCCACATACGTGGTTGCATGAAAAAAGTCACTTTGAGCTAGGAATGTACTCTGACATGACTCAGTGAAAAAAACCTAAACACCAACATAAATATTGAATAAAAATCCTGAAGTTGTGATGTAGTGCCATGTAACAAATTCACCACTACTTAAAAAAAACCCTCTCAGACACACAAACCTACCCTTCAGCTGCACCACTAGAAACATTCTGCTCATCTGAATACTGCCTACCAACAGCATTTTGTGCTGTAGTATTAGACCAAAAATTATGTAAGTCTGAAATATACCAATATAAAATAATATGGAGAATAGTTTCCCAGAGTAAGAAATAACCCAACTGATATCAAAAGGAATGATTCCCTTGTATGAAGTGGTTCACAAGAAATCCTTTAGCAAACCGCAATATTACAGATAATTAGTAACACACACGAAAGCAGCAGAGGAGACCTCAGAAATACCTTGGGGTGATTCAGAAGATTTCTGGCAGAGTTAATGCTGCAGCTGGAGATGTTTTTCACCTTTCTCTGAGCTGGTTAGAACCATTGCATTTGGCTTCCTGGGGCCTCCCAAGAAGGCTGCAAGCAGAAGAACATGAAAGGTGACTGAACTTTGTTGCACATTTGCAAGCCAGGTTTTTCAAAATTCAGAATTAACTTGCTCCTTTTTGTGCACAGTCTCTTCCTACTTTTGTAAACCATCAATGACAGCGCATCTTTTATTTGTTTTCACTTCATCACAGAGCAGCAGTTTGTTATGACTGCTCTCTCCCACACAAAAGCTGGGCAGGATTTCCATACACCCTTCTGTTTATTTACAGTAAGCTACCGTGAAAATATTTGCTTACTCCATTTCAGTGAAAGACTATGGTAAATAAAAACACTAATTTAATACCTTTCATTGCTCACTGATGAAAAACACCAAGCACACGAGGTCAACATTTCTTCCTTAAGTAGGCATATGTTCACAAACGGGCAAAGCAACCAGCTGCTGTCATTTCTGAAACAAGTAGGAGAAGTTCGGCAGCAGTCCTGCCTTCCAGGATTTCCTGTTCTGGTTTAGAATATATGCAGGTTTATGTGGGACTGCTTTATATACATATGTGTGCACGTATATACATATATTCCTGCATATGGTACACATGCAGAGCAGGTACATCGGAAGCATCCTGAAGTTGATATTCCTACAGAGCCTCTTGTATCATCAAAGTATGACAGAAAGGAGAGGGTAAATTGAATGACAACTTTTACTCAATCATCTGCCTATCCAGAAGAAGGGCATGAAAGATGATAAATCCATGAGATTTCATATATTTCATGTTGTGAGAAATACTGTTGCTTCTGACAGTTAAAAAAAAGTGCATACCATAGAGATACACACAGAAAATAAACTTAATTGAGACATAATATAAGGGGGGGTTAAAAAACTCTGGGTTTACAGTTGTCAAGATTTTTAACATCTTCTCCCCTCCTTATTCTGACGTGCATCTTTTCCTTTATTTGGGCACGAGCTCCTGCTTCAAAGACAAACTCTAAAAAGATCTTCCAACTGGAATCTTTCTTAATCACCGAACTTTAATTAGGATAAAATGCAATTAGAGAAGAAGAGGAAGACAAGCTTTTAGATGTACCCGTCTTCTTCAGGTCTAAACAGAAGCAGCCCTTGTGGAAGCCTCATCCTTGCTTCTCTCCCCCATGTACTGTAGCAGCTGGCTCAGCCTTTTGATTTCCTCCCTCTGTAACAACTCCCCTTCTCCCTCCAAAAAACACCAAACAAAAACAAAACACCCTCTCTGCCACTCCAAGCTTCATCCTTCTTGTAGCTTTAGATTACTACAGCTACACTATCAGTTTCTTGTTATTCACATTTTTTCCTTGCCTGCTCAAGGGGTGATCTCGTTTCCTATGGACCACTTGGTAATCACCTAGTGACACCTCTCCCATTTCCAACCCTCAGGAACAGGACAGAAACAAAAGGTGGAATCTATGAAAATTCACTCGTTTGGGTTTCCAACAGCAACTTTAAGTACTCAAACAGGGACTAATTAAGAGAGACAACAGCCATGGGAAAGCAATTGCAAAACCAACTGTACTTCACAGACCCTGCTCCTGGCTCCCCACCCCATTGGGGTTAGAGCCCAGACACATTCAGCGGCCGCAGAAGCTCCAAGAGATGTCCCATACCAGTGTCCATAGCTACACGAGATGCAGGTATGTGCCCTATGCTACCACATCCGCTGCATGGGCAGGGAAGTGGGAAGCTGGGGGTGGTTATGTTTTAAACTACCACTAACCACAACCGACAAGACAAGGCTACTAGAGACCTAACTCTCTTTGTGGTGTTGACGCATAAACTAATCAACGCAAACTCAACAGTGCAAAGAGGGACCCTTTGCACCCAAATTTATAGAGCCCCTGCAGCAGTTTTCCTCCCTTGAAGATACCTTAGGGCTGCACTGTGCCAGCTCTGGGATGCTATGGAATAGAAGCACTGCAAGAGGCGCAGCTGCACAGGGCTCTCACGCTACTTGACTTGGATAAAGCTCTTCTGTCCGAGGCAAAAACAGGCAACATGGAATGAGACCTCATAAAGCACTGACTAAAAACAGATCTGACCACAGGTCTTAAAGAAAATGGGCAATCCTAATACGAATCCAACTGTGTGCTTCAAAGGGAATATGTACTTAGCGTCCAATCACAGAAGAGCTTTGCACATTAGAAGACCAGCTTTGGCTGAAGAAACATTTTGAAATTTGACTTGCTTGAGGAGAAAAAGTGGCAGTTGAGCTAATCAATATGCCTGATACAGTACAGACGCTGTTATCCCACTAAAGGGGTTCCATGCTTCAGCTCAAGATACACTTTGATCTAAGTTACAGTTCTTTGCTGGAAAACTCAGTTCTTTTTTGGTTATATACACGGAAAATAAAGATCACTTCAATTGAAAGGAGTCTTTCAAAACTAAGCACCATATAGAAAATTAAAAAATGCAAATTAGGTATCCCCTCAAAAAGGGAATCCTATTATTGCTGTAAAGACACCATTTACTTCAAGTTTGTATTAGATGGGGGCAGGGGAGAAGAATGTATTCAAAGTCTATTACTGCTTAAAATATTAACTATTTGGAAAACAAGTTCAGCAGCAATTTCAGTACCAGTCTTTCAAAAGGCAACCTGAAAAGAATACCGTCTATATATCCGGGTGTTACCCTGACAGGTTTTGTCCCATTTGTCTTAGTAAGCCAGGTAAGTTCCTGTCTAGCTGATTAAGAGCAACAGCCCTTTTAACTTCGTTTCACCTGAAGTGAACTCTGATGGAAAATATTTCAGACATAATAAGGCCATAAGCTCACTCATGTCCACTTCACGATCCTTCATTAAGCTAAGCAATACTCTTAAAAAAATTGTTCAAGGGAAAAAACACAAGCAAAAGCATTCAGGGCAGAAATCTATTCTTATAAACTCAGCAGAAACAGACCTCAATCATTCCTAGCTGCGGTACCTGCACAGCAAAAGCCCTCCATCGCCCAAAGCAATTACGTTGACAATTTATTTCAAGTGTATCCTTACTGAACAGTGCAATGAAAGACTATTCTAGAGACATAAAGGGATCAGGAAAAATGAAGATTAAAGTGTTTAGATTACCAGCAAAAACACACACACACTTAAAAGAAATGTCCTAAATCATGCCAATCTCAGTAAAATGACAGTAAATTAAGCTATAACATTACCTCCTCTAAACTGTTAGATCCACGACTCTGCACATGATTCTTCAGGGAAAACAGAGAGAGAGAGTTGCAGAAAAGGACAGCCTTCAGAACACACTAAAAGATGAAATTACATTTGCAATATTTTTTCCCCATATAAAGCTCATTTTTACCATTATATGTTTTCTTCCACATTAGTACAGTTTATTATCACAGAAATTCTGGCACAGGATAGATTCTTCTTCTATATAGTTGTTCAGAGTAGTCACAAAGTAACACATACTTTCAAGTATTACTTGTTCTGAAAGCACTTGTTCTGATTTATTTTACTCAATTTAAATATCCTATTGTTTTCCCATTACACACTTCAGTTTTACAGGCAAGCCTGCTGAGAGCAGGTCTATCAGTTCCTAGTGGCACATACACAAATGGGGTCTGAACGGCGTTCATAGCTGGGACACTTTTTGGAACTACACCCTTCATTTCTCGAATTACTGGAAACTTCCACAGAGCATCTTTGAGTGATTCAATGCTTCCCTGACAGTGTAGAGCTCAGAAGACACCATGGTTCAGCTCATATGTGCAACGCCTTTGTTCCTGAGAAAGGAAACCAAACACTAGCGATCCACAGAGAGCCTGGTAAAATTCCTCAACGTCAAAACTGAGCTATGACCAAACATCCCATGGTTGAAAGGGCAGTTAAAATACAATTCTTCCCCCACTGATAAAAAATATTAACAAGAAAAACAGTTCTCCAGTTCTACTCTTGGCCAGATTGCTTAGCAGACAACAGCAAGGAGTCCCTCCCTGAATGCTATAATTTACAGCGGCTTTCTTTGTGTGCTGGAGTAACCTGGAGTCCTTGTAGCACAGAGCACTCTGGCAAGTGCTATATGAAGATCTAGACAGATGAGAAATTTAAGGATTATTCCATAGAGTAACAAGAACTAAAATGAGACAACTGCATGCTTACTACAGGTGAGCATAATTGTAGCATATAACACTCATGCCTGCTCGGTTGCTTCTGGTAACACTGCCAACTGCTTTCGCCTGAGTGTTTAACTTCACCCAGTTCCCATTCCTAGTCCAACTTATACTCATCTTTTCCCTGTACTGGAGTGGCAATAAATTAACTGCCATCCTCAGCCATTGAGTCAATCACAGCGTAGCCAGCCGAATCAATCAGACGGGCCACAGCGGAGCCCTGCATCTCATGCTGAACAGGCTCCTGCCACCGCACCGCAGAAATCCGTTTCACACCGACACCTACCACCAGGCACCACTTCATCAGTGTCAGAGGCTCCATTACACCTCTAGCTGATTTTTACAGGCACAAACAGCACACCGAATTAAAAACGAGAGAGAAAAAAAAAAACACACACCCTATGGCAATAACAGCCATTTTTTAAACAAACGTCGAATTTTCTCAGGTCAAATCCAACTCATTTTTCTTTGCAAGCACACAGCAAAGAACAGGTGCACAGAAGTCCAGGTTTTTATTTGCTGCACAATATTATTTCTTACTGCTAGCTGCAAATTTATTGCTCCTCTTACTATCAAGAAAGTGATCAGAAAGATCAAAAAAAGAATCTTGATTTTAATCCATTTCTTTGCATGATCAAATTCAAGCCCTGAGGCAAATTAATCTATAACATGAAGCAATGCACAATTTTTTTTAAAGAGGAATTGCCATCTCAAACACAGCTTTTCATGCTCTTTAACAGAGAAGAGAGACTCAAGGAAGAGGCAGAGCTCAGTTAGATGATGTCAGGCAAGACTGTACACCTTCTGTTCAGAGCCAATTTCAGTTCAATCCCTTCTGAGTCT